GGAGGGGGGGGGGGGGGCGTGTTCCGAGCCTCAAATACTGTCTGGTTGTTTCAATGTTGTCAACTTTATTTGCCCATGAAAATGGGGTACCCAACCAGCTTGGTGTGCTGAACTGGGCGCTTTTTTTCTTCCCTCTCCATGTTCATTCAACACCACACCATTGTCGAAAATTGAAATTGTTGGTTACGTATTCCCTCTCCCCCACCCCTGCAATTTATAAAATTGAAGCCCAACTGTCACGTCCGTCAGCCAGGCTACCACCCGGCAGAGCTGGATATAAACCAACATTGAACGCCTGTGCGATTGTGATGTATCAAGCAGGCCGAGACGTGGCCAACAGTCCCCGCCACGAGGTTGTCTTGCCTTTTTTTTTTTTTCCTTGCCTGTCCCCGTCCGTCCCGTGTCTCGCTTCCTCTCGCTTCCCCATGCTCTGTTCTATTAATACCTCAAGTTCAATTTCCCTTTCAGTGGGTGTCATTTAACGTCGTGTTACAAATAGTATACAGCCCTCTGTCCCCTCTTCCCCCCCAAAAAGAAAAAAAAAAAAAAAAAAAAAACACTCCGAATTGAGACACCATGCTTTTCCTGCAGGGTCTCCGGTCACCAAGCAAAATGAATGCGCTCTTGGCATCTGATGTGCGCTGGGGCCGGCTAAATATAGGTAGGCCCCGGGATTAGTGCCGGACGGGTTGGAAGTTTGGGAGCGCCCAACTGCCGTTCTGCTTACACGCTGGGACCGTTGGTGCGCAGGAAATTGGATGCGACGTTGGGCTAGTCCCGTGGAATTGATAAGAGAGATGAGATGGATGGATGCCCCGTACGGGGTTTGTTTGGGATGGTCGCCGGGGTTGTTGTAGTCTGCTTGCCTTTGTGCGCGAGGGGAAGTAGGTTGTAGGGTAGTGCTATGGCCAGAGGACGGTAGATGGGCAGCACCGTCGTGAGGCGGGAGAGCATAGTTGCTTCTTGGTGGGCGTGGCTTGACCAGTTGCCGAGGTGTTGTTGGATGCTCCATCTGAGCAATTGAACTTGACATATGCCCCGTATGGATGGATATGCCAGCTGCAGATAGAAATGCGGGCATGCTAGGGAATCGTTGTAGGGCATGAGGACCAACGTGACGATAGAGCATAAGAATAAGCGTTGAAGATGTAAATAGCCAGAAGAACCGGTTGAAACCCTCATAGGCTGCAAAGACTAAAGGAATCACAAAGCACAAGAATACAAGTGATAGATACTAGTTGGCACTTCTACCTCAAGCACAAAATGCCGATTGCAGACATGCATAGCCAGAGACACGGGGCAATCGCCCAGGGGCAGCACTAACGCGGTGAAAACGCAAAAGGATACCATTATGATTACTTGTGCACCCTACTTGCCATGCCAAAATGTACAGAGTAATCGTATCCCGGGGTATAATAAACCACCCACCGTGACTCCATCCCTGTGAAGAATATGACATGAAGCCATCGCATCCCCCCCCCAAAATCATGTACCCCGCGTGCTGTTCGTCCGATAATTTTTCTGCCATCCCAACCTCACCCGTAGACAAAGAGAACAAACGATGCCGAGTTGTGGCATGAACGGGCCAATTTGGCCGTTGATGAAGGGTATCAATATGATAACAATGAAGATGTAAGATAATGAAACACGGCAACAAGTATGAGTGGTTGAGAACAGATCTAGGGTAATTGAAACCATAATGGTGGGGTATATCGCTGACCAAACACTAAACAGGAAAGGGAGAAAGAACAGCGGAAAAACGAAAAGATGAAGTAGTAAAGATGAGAAAAACAAGAAAAGAAAAAAAAAGGAAAACAGGGGCAAAGAGTGTGTGTTGTGGTGAGAGCAAAAGTCATGGCAAAGGACAAGTAGTCACAGAGACCAAAAAGGCAAGCATGCTTGCTAGGTCTTCTTCTTGCCCTGGTGTGTCTTCCACTCCGCCTTGGCCACCTTCATCAACAAGTCCTCGTCCTTGATGGGTATCCACGATGTTAATGCCTTCATGACATTTTCAAAATCAGAGTCCAAGAGCACCTCTCTCAGTGCTTGGATCAAAGCTGCGCTGGTCGCGTGCAAGATATCGAGCCCACTTGCCACTGCCGGCGCCTCGCTATTCTTCTCCATTGTTGACGGTGATGTTGCTGCCGATCTCGCTGATGAGCTTGGCGAAGGCTCCGCGACGCCATTTCCTAACAAAAGAAACACGTCCCACACACGCAACTGGGCGCCAAACGGAATAGACAGGTTGAACAGCGTCAGGTACCACCTCGTCCCATACGCGGTAGAGTCAATGTCCAGCTCCGTCTAGGCAACCGTTAGTCCATGCCGCTTAATGCATGCATAGGGTTCAATGTCTGGGGGGGGGGGATGCCTACAAGTTTTTCCGCAACAGGCTTGGGGAGCCAAGTTCCGTCAAACTCACGAAGAGCAGTCATGAGGCCCTCAAACCCAGGACGGTAGAGTCTGTCCAGGCCTCGCAGCGACCACATCCGTACCAGCATCACAAAACACTTTTCCTCGTCAAAGTAGCACAGCAACGTGGCGGCCAGTGAAGCCATGCCTTGGACATAGCCCGTCTCCGGAAAGTATATCGAAAGCGCGTGAAGTACTCTGAACAGAAGCCTTTGACCTCCTCGGTACCTCCGGCGAAACATGATGTGCATGCTGATTGTTCGGGGGACGTCCAAGTCGATCTGCACATCATCGGGCGAGCTCCTTTGCTGCAGGTTGTGAAATGAGTTTACGATGAATTCAGAGGAAGGCGCATTGTGCTCCTTGGCTGCCGCGGCGAGAAACGACCACCAGGCCGCACCGCGCCATCGATCCGGGATGCCTTTCCATGTTCGCTCAATGAGTTTGGGGTTCTTTACGTCGAATTCAAATTCCATGCCTTGGCCATCGGGGCCTTGTTTGACAACCTTGGCCATCTTGCGCCACTTTTCAGACCGCTCCCACTCCTTTCGTTTGAGTCCCTCGGAGATCTTTTCCACCTGTGCTTCCTCCGCTCTGTCTTGTAGCGCCGGCGAAACCGTCAACATGTCGCCTGCTTCGTCCATCCATCGTCGGTTCCGGTTTTGGGGCAAAAGATTACTCGCTTGGCGCATGACGGACCGCGAGGACCGCAGAGACGTGACCGACGCTCCCGAGTGGACTGTGTTGAGAGACCGCGCCGAAACTTTTCTGCTGGGTGTTCTACCACCAAGAGAAGACGAGAAACCGATGGAGTCCCTTTTGAGTAGCACGTTCCGCCTTCTAGGAGAAAATTGCGCCGATTTGAGTTCAGTCGGTGTGCCGACTCTTGAAGAAGGTTGCTTTGGTGCGATGAAGCCATATCGATCCACATCCGCGCCGTCAATGTCTTCCCAGTCTTCCAGACCACCCGCCAACTCCGTTTCGCGTCGTGTGTTATCGGGATAGTGGGAAAAGGAGCTTACAGACCTTGGCCCGGCGGAGGCCAGCCCAAGGTTCGCGATGGGGACGAGGTCGCTATATTTCAAAAAAAGTTTGCAAAACAGCGTTAGCTCAATCTGGGGCCTTGAAGATGTGTGACCCCTCCCCTTCTCTGTTCAAAAGGGGAGGGGAAGGGGGGGTAGCCAAAGGACAGCATACGGGTCGTGGGAGTCCTCCTCTGCAGGAACCTCGGGAGTGGGCTCCAAGTGCTCGCAAAAGGAGAACCTGGCGCCATCCTCCCAGTTGATGGCATCGCCGGTTTGGTAGAGAGATCTCACCTTTTGAGATTCTTTTTCGACATCGGGGGAGAGGATACGAATGTCCGGGAGAGGTTGCGCCATGGCGGCGCTGAAGCTTGAGCTGGATCGCTCGTTGCTGGCGTCGCCCGGCATGGTCTGATCGATGGATGAAGGAGTCATTTCTGCGTGGTTGCTGTTGTGATTGTCCGCCGGGGCCGTCGTGGATGGTGACGGGTCGGTTGCGCTGCCGCCGCCGCCGTCGACAGCAGCTGCGCGCTTGCCACCAAACATTAAACTGCCGCGTTTCGAGAAAGAGAAGCCAGTCATGAAGGCATCATCGAGAAAGTTGTCGGTCGGGATTGAAATCGCAAGAGGAGCAAACTCGGCATCCAAGTCGGGAGTAGCTGATGAGATGCTGTTGGAAGCTCCGTCAAGACCTCCCGACGGGATGAGGACACTTTGCAGAGAGGCGTCTCGGTTCTGGCCTGGCTTGTGCATGGAGGAGGCTGGGGTCGCCATTGAGCCCCGCACCAGAGGCTCCGGCTCCGACTCCATTGGCGCCTCTTCTTTGGCCCTCTCGGACGACTCGCTCGACCTTCTGCCTTTGTGCCCGGAGTGGCGAAGGCTGCGCTTCTTGATGAGCTTTCGTGGGGAGGTTGGCTGCTTAAAAACCCGCGAATCGTTGTCTGCCTGTGGTGATGAGGGAGAGTTTGCGGTAGTCGATGCAGGTGATCCTGGCAATGCAGCCCCGGCAGCCGGAGCCCTGTTAGTTTGCACCTCCACCATCAACGCTCGGCCCTCGGGCCTATTTTCGATGTGTTTGGCTGCTTCAGGTACGGCGCCGTCGCGCCCTAGCTCCCGCGTCTTGTCTGAGCAATGGAGTTGTTCTTGTTGTTTTTGCCCAGTTTCGTCGCGACCAAAATCATCCTCGCAATCTTCCTCGTGAATCACACTGTCCGATGCGGTGGTCCCGGCATGTCCAGAGTCGCGCTTCCCATCCTGGTTGCCCAAGGCGTAGGCGTAGGCGTAGGTATTGGCAGGCAGCGGTGATCGCAATGCTGGGTGTTGTTCGGTGGGTGGTGCAACAAAGGGCATGAAGGCCAAGGCGGGCGGTGCAACGACCACAGGGCTCACTGAGCAAGAGGTAATGACGGATGAACTCGAGGTAGACCGCGATACAATTGTGGCCGTTGTCGTATTTGATCTTGCGATGCTGACTGAGCTTGGCGAGCGCAGGGGATTCCTTGGTGGCGGCAGGGGGACCGGAGGCTCTGCGGGCTTGGTCTTCTCGTATCGAAAGCCAACAACATTTGTATCATCCCGAAAGGAAGCCCGCCCCGTGGAAGGGCGGTTTTTGTGCCGCACAGAGGCAAACCTCGTCGGCAACATGCTAAAAATACAACTGCGGACCGGAATGCGCACGTCCTGGTGTCTTCTTGTCACTGCCGTCTTTTTGTTCAAAATTGCCCGTTCTTATGTCGCTTAATTAGGCGAGTTTGCCTCACAGACAGTTTTCCCAACCGGATTGTGTGTGGCAGTACTAAGGTAAGGAAGTACTACTGTTTGCACGGATCCGTGACCACGATCTGGCCAGGGTGGGGACCACGAGTCAGACTGCCGAACAAAAAGGTCGAGTCGTCTTCTCTTCCGGCAACGTAAAGGTCTGGAGCACCAGTAGAGCTAGTGCAAGCTCTGCGACAAAGACGGTGATCAAAAAAAAGGCCCTGAGGAGTCACAAGAAGAAGATCGAATCGCAGTTTGTAATTCCTTGAGGGAGGAACAGGCTGGACGAGGCAGGATGTGCGGCGTAAATAATAAAGGAAGGCGCGACGTGGTGACACCTTCTTGGACTGCTCAATGTTGCCCAACGGCAACGACGGTGTCGCGGTGAGTGACCCGCTGAGCAAGCCCGCGACTAATTGCTATTTGATTGCTTGCGGTGAGCAGTTTTGGGGCTTTGGGAGCAAGACACTTTGGCAACTCGGTCCTCGGTACGGCTTACGCAGCAGACCGCCTCGATTCGTTGACGGCCACCAGGAGGATTGAGTATGCGAATTTGTGTGCTGGCAAGCGGAGCTGCAGTGGTTGCTGGACCAATATTCTGCCCGCGCTCTTTACAGAAAGTCGGTCTCGTGGTTTATAGGCGGAGATGGGTTGACGTGGTGGATGTGTATGTGTGCCTGATGAGCGGTCCTCATACATGGGTGCAAGTGTGATGTGTATAGGCGACAATGGAGCCCCAGGCGAAAGAGGAAGGGCGAGAAGCTCTTTATCTGAGCGTCTCGTTTCAAAGGTAATGTCCGGGGTAGCGAAGATGATGGGGAGAGGACGGGGAAGGGAAAGGGATTGAGGGGGGTGAGGGTTTATCTAAAACCTGAATCTGTCGTCTGAGAGTGTTGGACTCGAGGGTTTCCGACGTTCATTTCCCACAAGTGAAAGCACGCAGGTCTCGGGCACGCAGCACAAAGGGCACGCGGGACTGGTGCGCCATTGAGACAGTTCAATCTAGCAACGGCCGCGGCGGAAACAAGCAACAAGAGCTGCACCAGGGCAGAAAATTGGGAATTGGTTGTCTAATCACGTATTGGGACCCCGAGGAATGAATGGATGGATGGTCTGGATCAAAGAGCAAAGGCTCAAATGGACCAGACCAAACTCGGCAGGGAGGAGAGACGAAGCATTGCCACTGGGGCCAACGACAGGTCACGTATCTTTGGGAGATGAATACTTGATGGGATGGATGCGTCTTGTGGAAATTCGGTGACTGCTTTCTTCTCGCCACGTATCCAAACTTCCCAGTGACTTGTGCGCCAACTTGAGTGCTCACCTGGACAGTGCCTGAGCGCCGAGCTTTACGATGCGTGAATGGTCTGGTGCCACATGTGGCCACTCAGCGCTTGCCAAGGCCCATCTGCCATCCACTGGCCGCCACATCACAGGCCACCGGATGGCCAAGTTGAGAGCCTAACCAGAGCACTAACACCGCTGGACCTGAATTGGTCCCCCCACCTTGACATCTGTCGTCCACACCTCGCCCACACCTCTCTCCCACGCCCACGCCTCGTCCACCCACTCTCTTCTTCCAAGGTTAGTTCCAACACACCTTGCCATCTTGCCATCAGAATCATCGATTTACTAAATAGCTGACTATCTAAACTGGGCACCAGTGGAGCAAGGACGAACGAAAGGAAGAGAAAAGAATTCCTCTCCCAGAAGCAGCCAGCCGCTCTCTGTCCGCGGAAACAAGCCGCCGCACAAGACCTTCCCACTACCTGGGCAGGAGGATGCAACCATAAGTAGTAGTTTCGACCTGTATTGTCGAGGGGAAATGCAGGCGTCAGCACACGAACGAAAAAAAAAAGCCTCACTATTCTTATGTTGCGCGCGTGAACGAGCGGACACTAGGCCTGATACCACCGCGGGCAAGCCGTGTTTATGTGCATAACACCCGTTTCAATCTTCCCGTTACAACAGCAAAAACGGTCCCAGATGGACAACTCCGCCATGTCCGGAATCATTTCCAGAATTGCTTATGCATCGCTCTTCCTGTCTGGAAACGTTTGCAGATACTACTCAGTTCGTGGCCAAGTATGGAGTAACACGACAAAAAAAAAGCTGTCATAACATGTGCTTGCCCACAGAGAAACTACCAACAAAATCATCACAAGCTAGCACATCCTGCAAGGTACCCGCCGAAACCCCTTGTTTCCCCTCCGATTGCACCACACCATGGCCCCCAATTATCAGTTTCGCCAGCCAATAGCCGGGTGGTGGTGTGGGAGGGGGTCGGTAGATCTGTCGGATGTCAGCAACTAAAGTCGATCCCCGAGAGCTGAAGGGAAGGGAGAAAATGCTGCAGAATTGGCGTGTAAATGTGGCAAGGATATGAAATTGAGGAAAAAAAAAAAAAAAAAAAAAAGATTACCATGGCGGGAAGAAGCACATTTAGAGTTCTACTGCGCCTGGGGAAATTGGCTCGGCTATCGATCTGCATTAGATCTCTTTGCACGGGCTTTAGATGATCAGCCGGACAAGGCTTGTCTAATGAAAAATAGAAAAAAAAAAAAAAAAAAAAAAGATTACCATGGCGGGAAGAAGCACATTTAGAGTTCTACTGCGCCTGGGGAAATTGGCTCGGCTATCGATCTGCATTAGATCTCTTTGCACGGGCTTTAGATGATCAGCCGGACAAGGCTTGTCTCTGGGTTTTCTTTTTTCTCGCGACAGCACCAGCTGAGCGGAACACCGAATTACTCACCATGAACGCTGGTTGATTGCTCCGTGGTCATCTAGCGTCAATCTACCGTCACTTTGGCTTCCTCTTCAGACAGCTGAAGAACAGAAAAAAAGGACGGTAAAAACAGCCAGAATCATGACTAGGGCAGGGCCTAGAACGCCTAGCTGTGTCAACCCTCGGTTGAGGGCTTGTCGATCCACCACTCTTCGATCACTCCCCCGAGGACCACAATTCAGCAAAATGCCGAAGACAATGAGACTCAAGCCACCCCAAATCAGTAACGGGTCACCCTCTTTTCCGCTATTCGACGGACCGGAGCGATTACTACGGGTCGTTGCCGACTGGCTTTGGATGGAGCACTATTTTGTTTGGCCCGCCCGCTCAAGTTTTTCGTTCCACCTCCGCTTGACCATGTACATGTATTGGTACACGGCGGCGGTGAGGATGGCGAGACACACAAGAGTAGCGCAACTTATCTACGGCCTCTATGCGGCAACACCTTGCGAGGCTGTCGTTGTGTTGCAGGGCCCGAGACATGTTGCAACAGTCGAGTCAGTTGTGTGGTCCCGGCTCGCTTCCGCTTAAGTTTCCTTCGATAACATGTCTCGCCATTTCAGGGTTCTGCAGAGCCGCGAGTGGTGCAAAAATGATAGTACTCGGTATTCGATTGAGGAAAGGCTTTTGTTTGCCCCGTGTCCGGTGGATGAACTAGAAGAAACAGGCCCTTTTTACTCCACTTCTAATGCTAGAGGGGGATAATACTATGTGGTCTCCACGGTGTTGACACAAAAGGTTGTGCTTCTGCGCCATCCTCAACATACATCATTGGCATATGAACACAAACTCAAGTGAACAAATCTCACAAGGTGCGTTTTTGCAACCACACCATCTGCTTTACATTCCGGTCCCCAGTTACCTTTCACAGCACCTGAAAAGACTGGATTCTGGGTGGCTGTAGTTCCACCATCATGCCCTTGCACCGCAACTCTCCAGGACTACATGAACGCTCGCTCAGCAAATTCCACTTCCGATCCCTGTCGCAGTCACCGGTCCGTCCGAGTCGTGAGCCCTACTCTGACACTCGAACCAGACCATTAACCAACTTCGAATGCCTCTCTGCCAAGTCCCCAAAAGCTAATGGTTCCCACTTCCCCATGCAGGCACTTTGCTAAATCTCTTACCCCGGCATCCTGGTCCTCTTAGACGCAGGCACCAGGCACACAGACGTCATTTGAACTGTGTGTGAGTTCTTACGTAGCACTTCCGAGGAACCGGCAGTCACAGAATGGTTTTGCAAACGGCACCCCATATACTAATACATCCGGGGCAGGTTGCGACAAGGTGCCCACGCTACGAACCGCTCCAGGACGGGGCTCGATGCCCCATCAGCCAACCAGGCCATCTCGCAATCTCCCGTCAGAAACACGACGAACCTGCATGAAACAAAGGGAGACATGCATGTCATCTCATCAAATACTTTGCGACGTATGTTTACGCAATCAGGTACAGCCTTGCAGCTGCACATCGTCTGTGGCACAAGCAGTATACTAGGCTACATGACAGTATGTTATATTTTAACGCGCAATGACGTGGCACCTGCTCTGTTCAACAAGCCCCTTCCCTCCCAGTGTACAGAGGACGTCTAGGCGAAAGGGAAGATGCTCCAAGCTCAAACTTATGAGGCAGCACTCTGGAATTCCAGAGCATCCTGTCCCTTGAAACGCACCCTATCCGGGAGTTCAAACATTATCACATCTCGGAATTGTTTGTATGTATGGCGCGGGGTTTTGTTTCATGAATGTGAGGTTATTTCAAGCTCAACTCGGTCGGCTGCCTGTCGCCGATTTTGCTTCCTTGAGCCGAATCTGAAATGGTATTTTGGATATTGACGAGCTCATACCATCAACAGCTAGTCGAAACGGAAGGTGTGGCAATTATCAGAGGTCGAAAGCTCCAAAGTCATCGATACCCAGCTGCTGCAAAAGGCCTGCAAGGCTCTGGGGAACCGGATAACTGAAGTAGGCAATGTTACGTTGCCTCGACTTGTCGGCCTCGCTGACTGACACTCGGCATATCGAGGCAGACATGGACCAAGTCAATGCACGTGTTTTGCACTTTGTGGCATTGCTCATGTCTGTTATCGAATATCCACGTAGCCTCCATGGCGTTTGATAACAAGAGAACAAAAGAAGACGCCATCAAGGCCAGAAAAAACTTGGGCAGGCACCCTCCAAAACTGCATGGCCATGGTCTCTGAATCTGTTCTACCGCGCGAAGTGCCTCTCGAACGTCAGAATCTGTGAGGGCACTTCCATTATGGACCATCGCCTTCAAAATTCCCCGAAAGAACCCGCTCAGCGCCGTGTATGAGGTACGTTCATTGGATCCTTTGCGCCTCAAGTGGCGAGGTCATCTCGGCGCTCTATCTCTGAGTGCCCTGGTACTGACGCAGTACCAGTGAATCGGGAACCGTGTCATGTTGCGTGACAGGGATTTCATAAGCTGTCTAAACTCCAGGACTAGAAGAATGTCTTCTTTAAACGTATGAAAAGGGTAACAAATATACTCGTCGACATAGTTTCGTCGAAGAGCTAATCGAGCTGAAGTTGATGAGTAAACTTGATAAACAGCCCACGTCGCGGATCAGCTCTCTTTGAGAGGCGATGCAAAGAACTTTAAGTTGCTCACACTTTCTTGCCAGGAGCCAGGATCATAAGCTACCCGACCTGACTTGACCAGTCCCGTGGACTGCGACCATGTCAGAGGCCTGGATGTTGGGTAACCTGCAAATGTACGACGGACGTCTTGTCATGCCATACTGTCAGCCTCAGCCTGCAAACCACGAATCGCAACCTAGTTATTACCGGCCTTTGGATTATTTGATAGTCACCAAGTGCCATGTGATGAGTAAACTCGCGTTGCACCACGTCATCAGGGGCAGCTTCTCGGCCTGTGGCGTTGTCAACTTCACTCAGTTCCGCACACCTTGGAACATGCGGATTGAAGTACGTATGTAACGAACTCCTAATAAGAAAACCATCACCTCGATTACATGTGCTATATCAGATGGCATTGCCTCTTACCTCCGCACTCGCCATCTCTGCCCACGCAAGTTGGGACAAATAACGACGTGCCTCGCCACGCAACAACGCGATGAAAAGGATATTGGCAGATTACATCTGTCGTCTTTCTCTCTCAATGACCCCCGCCCGGGAATGTTGCCGGCACAAGAATGATCGTCTGGATGGGTACGTGCACTCTCTGGCCGTGTTGCCGATTCTCTTTACAGCTTGTTCTCAGTTTCATAATCACACGGTCAATATTTAACACATTTTGCACCAGTTGTCGTCTTTGTCATTGGCGAATAATTTTCTCTAGTGGACCATATGCGCCAACTCTCCACGACATCGTGCTCATGGAGGTGACGCGTGCAGCCACTCTTGGCGTGATTGACTTGCATTCTCCTGAGCCAGAAGTTCAGGCCCTCGTGGCGCAAGTCTGGCGTTTTGTGTCCTGGCCCGGCTCCGCTTCACTTGGTCACGATACTTACTTGTTTGACTTCTCGAAAGTGATGAAACAGTTTCGGACGCCGTGGTACCCTGTTCAAAGTGGCTGCTTGGTATTTGGTGCTACCATATGCTTGGTGAGCTCTGTTTATCATGGCAAGGGGAATTTTTGCTCATGTTTCTAGACGAGATATAGGCGAGGGTGCCGAAAAGTTTCAGGTCCGACAGATCTGACCACATCGGCGGATGGCCTCGGTTGTTTCAATCGTTGGTTGTGGCAGCTACGATGGTTCAACTAATAGGGATTCTATTTGCGTCGACTCCAACCACGATGGTCCGACCTGCCTGTAGCGAGCGTTCGTTTGGAAAGTAGCGCATATTAGTGAGTCTCTTTTCCCTATTCACGCAACCACTGCGAACAAACCCTCTCGTTATGCCGCCACGCAGAAACCAGAGGGCTGGATGCCAGGAGTTTTGCATATCGCCAAGTCACATAGCAAGATGCCACATAGTAGGCATTTACCGCCACCTGGAAACGGCCCGGACGGATTTTCAGTCAATCCCGCAAATAGGAGAGGGCATGTGTGTAGCTGGACTGTTGCACATTTTGATGACAAGTACATGCCAAACTAGGCGATTGTCCGACGGTGGCGCTGGGGCGGGCCGAGCCGATGTGGGGGGTTGCAATTGCAACGGTGCAAGTCGGCCATATTTCACGGAGTACCTCGATATAAATTACTCAAAAAAGCAGGGGCTGATTCTATGCTCGTGCTGGATGGAACTTCCTCTCACCTCGAGACTAACCATGACATGACGGTCTTTATCTCAATACTCCGTACTTGGTCGCGAATAACAGGCTCCATCGTCTGAGCGTCAACACCCTGGGTTGGTGGCTGGCACTGGCTGCCCGGGGTTGGTGCTGCTGCCTGGCAAGCACGTCTACCGTTGAGGAGGTGGATGATGGTCGATTCCAACGAACCTGTCTACAGTCCTCTTAATACTTTATAAGTGGCTACAAATCTCGGCTGGCTCACGTGATTCCTTCTCATTACCTACCAACCACGACAAGAACTGTTCAATGTCCCCCGCCTTTGCATTGTAGCCTCGGGTGCAGCCCAGACTCTGCTTCACTCTAGTTGCAATGCGACCGCGGATGCAGTGATGACGATGTCTCGTGTGAGGAAAGCGAGCGTATCGAAGACGAGTGGAAGAAGTCATTATTTGCCCCAGACACGATGCGAGCTATTGGGGATTTCATCGTCAAACATCGCGGCGGTCTTCCGGATGAGCTCTCTCATCCCAGGGCCGGTACTTTTAGTATCACATTTCGCATAAAGCTTAAAGATGGTGGATCTGCTATTCTGCGGTTTCCAAACCCCGGTATAACCATGTTTCCCGAGGAGACGATGCAAAATGAGGTGGCCACTATGAGATGTATTCAGCACCATACCGCTATACCAGTTCCGCTTGTAATGAGCTCGGGAACAAGGGAGGAAAGCCCCCTTCAACTAGGCCCTTTTATCATCATGGAATACAGTAAACCACGAAATGGACCTGGTTGACGCCCTGAACAAGCCAGAGCTCAGCGTCGTGGATCGCCGATGCCTAAATCCAAACATTGATCTCCCCAGGCGAGTCTAGAGATGCTATACCGACAGTTTGCGGATGTCTTACTCCAGCTTTCAACTCTAGAATTTCCCCTCGTAGGGTCTCTTGAGAAAGTTGATTCCGCTGACGACTTCTCCTTTGAGGTGCAGAACGCCGCCCTCTATCTGTCCACATGAACGAGCTAGTGCGGCTGGGAATGCTGCCGCGAGCAAAGCTGCCCGACTGTACCTTTACATCTTCTTCGGACTATTTCCAACGCCTGGCGCAAATGCACTTTGACCACTTGACGACTCAGCGAAACGATGCCATCGAGTCCAGAACGGATTGCCAGCGCAAGTACGTTGCTAGGTGCCTGTTTAGGAGGCCTGCAAGGGAGGGAAAGCTCGCGCTCGAGAGTCATAACAGCGGCCCATTTAAACCATGGTGCGATGACTTGAGGCCAGCGAAGACCCTCTTAGATGCAAATTTACAAATCGCTGCCGTCTTGGACTGGGAATTTAGCTAGGTGGCACCGGCTGAATTCTCTTTTGCGCCGCCTTGGTGGCTGCTGCCTGAACCAGCAGAGTACTGGCCGGAGGGGCTCGACGGCTGGGAAAGGAATTTTGCAGGCCGTTTGGAAACGTTTCTGCAGGTCCTGGTTCAAAGCGAGGACTCGGCGATGGCGGCGGGCAGACTCTCAAAGGAGCAGCGGCTTTCGTGCCATATGCGCGAGAGCTGGGACACGGGACGCTTCTGGATTGTTTGTGCCGCGCGCAAGAGCTTTGCCTCTGACTTTATCTTCTGGAATAGGCAGGACTCCCAATTTTTTGGGCCGGCTTCAAATGTCGAGGATGCCTGGCAGCAGAGATTGGAGCTGCTTAGCGAGGAGTTGCAGGAGATGGAGGCTTTCGTGGATATAAACATGGCCGAGATGGACTCGAGACCATTGGCCTGGGAGCCGGACGAAGACGTTTATACCAAGAAAGTTGTCCCGGGAATATACTTTTCAGGCTGAACCGCGCACCGAGGCTGGCAGGACTTCTTCGTCACACTACCCTCTTTGTGAGCAAACGTCCTGCTATCGGCCCATATCAGTGGGTTGAACAATGTTGGTAGCAATCCAGCCGCACTCGCAGCTTGTGTTCTGATTGTAGTATTGCGGTTTTGGAGTACGGGGGTTTGCTACGATTTGAAGCACTGAGAATCTGCACAGAGACGGCCTTTTGTAAGTCGTGTCTGTTGACACAAGGCGTTGCAAAACAGCCTTGGCTGCGGCCTGCGGCCTTCGTGCAGCCCGATTCCATCAATCTTGTCTCCAATTACCTATTTTGCCAGTAGTTTTGGAAGCAACCCTGGATGCTCGCCCATGTTTGACTCTGGTTCAGGGGGCACATCGACGGCTGCTTCTGCAACAGACTTGGCTGGCAGACCATCTCAATTCACAATCCAGGGCATGAGGTTTTACGCCTACAATAAACGAATATTCTTTTTATCTCTGCACTTTCCCGCCATTCCTTCACATGCGCACTTTTCGGCATATTCGCAGACAACTACTCCAAATGTGTTTAATAGCTTTGTCGTTTAGTTTTGATTACTTCTTTTCTCTAGGGCTTACAGTCCTATAGAGGGCAAGAGTACAATTTTCCTCACGTGATAGGCTATAGATCTAGTTGTTGGAAAATGCCAACAAACATCATAGGCTCGAGCTCTGCTCGACACGGGAGGCGCGGCCTGCCTGCTGCACCACAAGAGGTGCGGATACAGCGTTATAATTGGTTCAACAGGTGTCATTGCTCTGTCCACTTGACAATTGCCCGTTGCAAATTCGCATACTGTAAGCAGTCTCTCCGAAGTGTTGATAGGTGAGGAGACTTTGAACTTACTGCAGCAGAATAGTGGCCCTTACGGCTGAGCTTGCGTACTTCATTTCCCCCCCGAGATTCATCCATCCTTTCGTAGGTCTGCTCGATGAGATCATCATCCCCGGAGCGCTTAACATTGAAGATTTGAGCAAATTCGTGGCTCTATCGAACCAAAGTTTGCACGTCAACAGTCCAAGCCGAGCTTTGTGTTTCCGAAATAGAACCGCCTCAGTCATCAAACGCGACCCGCTTCGTCTTTAAACAAAGGCTTGTCCTGCTGTTAGAATGGTCACATCGAGCCGCGTTGAAACGGATGTGCTTCTTGCTATACGGCCTGAGCATCTCAAAAATATTATCAGCAAGACGAAGAACCACGAGTTTCGGAGCTACAAACTGCCACATGGCGTAGAGCGGCTGTGGTTATACGAGACTCTTGGGACACCGAGGAACAGGAGATGCCAGGCAACAACGTGAGTAGCAGCATGCGCAAATTCTTTGAACGGTGCGTGCTGCTAATGGTTTACCGCGCCGTCAACAGTTATATCGCCACCATTCCTCCAAATATTCGCCATCTGCCAGGCGCCGTACCGGAATAACCCTCGGGCATCGGAAACGCCGAGTTTAATGCCGGCAAGAAGAAGTCCAAGTTTGCATATCTATCCTCGAACTTTGTAAACTTGACAAACCCATCAAGCTTGAAGAGATGAAAAGCAAATGGGGAATCGCAGCTCCGATGGGGTGGTCCTACGTAAGGAGATCAATGTTGGAAGACCGATGGGCCGACGAGGACTGCCCGAGAAAGCCATGGACGAGTGTCTTTCGAAGCTGCCGGCACCTGTAGCTAGCAACTTGGCCCAACGAAAGTTGTTCCCGTATCAGGAGAAGCGGCTGCTGACAATTACACACGATGTTGGGGCATTGGTATTCTTCTAAATATGCCAGCTCTAGAGCATGACATTGAGGCCGTTGACTGCCTCACCGGCAGTTTACGGTTCCAACGCAGCGATATCTATCAACTTAACTACGCGTGGGCACGAGCCATACCTTCAAAGACCAACTGCCACCAAAGAGCTCGTTAGGCGGGGGCATGTCAAGAGGATGAGACGTGGTCACGGCATGGTATTGAGCAAGCTTACTTGCCCAGAACACTGCTAAGGCGTGCCTTACTGACGTCCGCTATGCTGTCACGGAGGGATATGAGAATGAGGGCTTTGGCATGCTTGCTGAGATTCACTGACAAGCCTACTAGGGCAGGACCATCTCCGACGTGCCTGCCATCGAAATTGCCCTGGAGCCCGGCGATTTTAAGCGGATAATCCCTCCCATTGCTTATTCCCCCATTTCTTGGCTACGAGAGCTACGAGACCCAACGCTCCCCGCGCCTACTACCAGCAGCGATTGGCAGACCAGAAAGTTTCGCCTTTTCAAGTGAAACCTTACAGCCGCTTTAAAGAGATTGTTGAAAATGAACAGGGCAATGCGTTGTGCGCAGCCAGTTCTGAATCCTCGCATCTGTGCCGCAGACTAAGCCATCCTCTTTGTTCGTCCAATAACTATTGCGGCCCCTACAACTCTTGTCCGATCAAACCAAGCAAAGACCCTTCCAGTCAGGCTGTAGCCGGCCAACGAGATGCCGTAACGGCTCAAAGCAACCTCTTGTTTTCGCAGATGGCCCGATAAACCGTCAAACACGTGGTCCGAAATATCCCGAATCTCAATTTGCGCTTGGTCGTAGCCGCACTCGATAAGCTGGTTTCGGTATTGCTCGGCGGTCAAGAAGGTATACAGCGGACAGGACAGAACAAAGCCCAAAAGCCTAACTGCCATGGTTTGCCACATGGATGCGTTCTCGTTTAGTATCAAGTCAAACGCCATGACATTTGCGTCCAGTGTCTTGGCTGCAAACTTAAAGATGGATTTTCTGGAGGGGGAGAGGTGGTAGAGGCAGTCCTGCGCCATGAGCCATCGCTCGGAGAAAGCCTCGTCTGCCAGGCTATCCACAGACGCGTGAACCACGCTACTCCAAGACTCTGGCTTTGCTGCGTCCGCCCGGAAGAACTTGAAGGCGTCTTTGGACAATCCGATTGCACTACCCCTTTCCTCTTCAGGTGCCAATGCCCCACCGAGCCTCTCCTGTGCTGCTTGAAGCTGTCCGCATTCAAGGTAAGCCCGACATAGCGAAATCGTGGCCTCCAACACGGCGACGGAATGCTTGGTCTTTGAGGCGGCCTTTCCCGGTTGATTTTCGAGTACAAGGCCGGCAGCATGTACAATCTTCTCCAACAAAGCCCGCGTCGCCACATCAAAGTGGTCAATGCGTCTGTCGTCTTCTGTCCTGCACGGAATGCGATGATTAGGTCGCCTCGGCTTCACTGTGTGCCTGAAAGTGCAATCAATTGGGAAAAAAAAAAATGACCACTCACCAGAATTTACAATCCCCGCCCTCGTTTTCGCCAGGTCATCATGGGCGAAATCAAAAGTGGAAATTTGACGGCAAAACATATGGACTCATCAAAGTAAATGTCGTCGTGCGTCCCTGACGCTAATCCAGGCGCTGACAAGCTGACAGTTTCAAGAAGTGCTTGTCTGCAGCCAATCAATTCATCTTATGGCCTTCCTTTGAGCGGGCTTGGCGACTGGCTTATATGGCTTCAGCGCGCGGCTAATAGTTACACCGTAGCCGCCCTTCGCCGGGTCATGTGATTGCATCCCCCTCCACTCCCTCTTTCCATCGAGAATCTCTGCTCGGCGTTCCAACTGCTTCATTACCAAACCAACGAGGAATGTCACGCCCAACATGTCGGAAAAAGTGTACATGAAAAAGGAATAGTACATCTCTGGTGTACCTGCACACATTACAACACCGCTTCCTACGCCAGCAGAGCTCGTCCACCTTTACCCCTCCAGATGTAGAATCTCCAACAATCTGGATTAAATATGGGCATTCTGTCGTTTGAAGTCAGCTGGCATCGACGAAAATGGCTCATGATGGGCTCCGCAGTCTTGATTCACCAGTCAAAGTTCCAGCTATCTATTACGGCTGTCGAGTAGGCATCTACTCTAAAGAGGACCCCTCCAGAATACCCGTGTACCGATCATACCTGGTCATGAAGTACGTCCAAAGAGAAACGGCTGACCAGCTATTATAAGATGCGGCTGATGACGAAGAAGAAAAGGACCGCATATACAAACAGAGAGCCTTTGCCTTGTCCGAGCTGCACCGTATTCCAGTGCTGGCGGGTTCCCGGCCTGCCGCGGTCAATGGCGCAAGGATCCGCCACGAGCTGTTTGATGAGAATTAGGCTTCACTTCACTCCCGCAATGTGACGGAATGGGAGGATCACCTCGACCTTGTGAGTTACGCTACGAGGTCCCCGACGCTCTTGGCCCCATTGCACATTGCCAATCTCTTCTGCGCGGGTAGTTCCTTTCCCTGGCCAAGGGTCAATGCCGCATTGAGCATCTTGCTCAGGAATGGTACTTTGTTACCCTGATGTCTAGCTGGGCAACTTTATAAGTGATGACAAGGGTTCCGTTACCGTGGTGGATCTTGAAGATGCCAGCATCTTAGCATGCTGCTTCTCCAGATTCGTTCTCGCTGGAACTCGAGACGAGATCGATCGTGACATTGGAGACATGGCCGTGGTACCGAAAACAGAGGGTATATGTAACACATCCGCCTTGTTTGCCGTCGCGCGCTCAATGGTAACGGGCTGGGGCTCATCTGCAACAGCAGGTCGGAAGCCTCTCGGGAGTTACGAACGCGACGAGCCCGACCAAGTACGCAAGGTCGTGACGGACGCACAAGGTCAGCCTGTGATTCTGGCCATCGAACCAGCGAGCCCGCCATAGTATGCGGCATTCAGGAGGCCGCTTCCACTATTACCACTGGAGCCTCACTTGCCTCCCGGAGCAGGCGAACTCCTGCGGCCGGGAAATAATAAGTCGTGAGATCAAGAGACTTGACAACCACGTGAGAATGCTGATAAAAAAAATTTTTCCCTAAAAAAAGCATGAAAATGGCAAAATGAGCACGTTGGCTTTTCGAGTGTGCGAGGACTTGGCTGGTACCTAGGTATACGCAACAAGAATTCATTTTTGAAGAAATGGCAATATGGCCATGGGGACCAAAGAGAGGCAAAACATGAGTCACGAATCTCATGCGCGAGCCAGGTCAGGTGTCCGTCGTCGAGAGCTGGCTAGAGAGTGTGATGAATGATGAAGGTAGAAAGGTCAGACTGGTGGAAGAGGTGGTGCCCGTGTTGGTGCCGTGGCGCAACATGTAGCCCTGCGTCTCAACGGGCAATGGCCGATTCAACAACATACAAGCTTTCTCTGATGAAGAAACAAGACGCAACAAGGCGAAAATGAGCCGTAACGATATTGGACCTCGGAATACCGGATACGCAAGAGGCATCATCACGTTACAATGTCACAGTCGCTTGGAAAAGTCAATCAATAACGGAGGGTGCTCTATGCCCGTTTGGAAGCTGGCCGATACTGTCCTCCATCACATGTTACAGGCCCTTGATCATCTTGCAACCAAAGGCATCGTCCACAGGGACATGAAGCCGGCCAATATCCTCTATATAACAGGGAAAGACGGCAAATATCATTTTCAGCTTGGAGATTTCGGATTCTGCAATCAGGCTATTATGGCTCAATCACAAGTTGGTACTCCCATCTATATGGCCCCCGAGATGTTTAAAGAGGGGGAGCAGACACACAAACTAGATATTTGGTCGCTCTACGTGACGATACTTTGGACTTTGGATATCGGTGGATTCCGGGAGTGATCAAAGAAGGTTGAAAACTCTCGTGAGGTCCAAGACGCCGTTTCGAATATTTCGGACGAGGTGCCTAGTCTTCCGCAAATGTGTCATATGGGGAGGGTTGACCCAGAGGATCGCCCTTCCGCGGCACAAATGCTTGTCAATATCTTTGGTGGAGTTGGACTCAGCACCCCGCGGGCTGCGATACGACCTTTTTAGAAAAATACAGCCAAATATTTGATCTCTTATTCGGCGTATTTTTGTTGTAGGATACTACAATCACCTGCCCTTGTAGACGCGGGATGGGCTAGCGGGGAATCGGACCGTGCCGCAAGGGAGAGAGCGGGAGCGAAACTCTAATCGGCTTGGTTGCTGGGGTAGGCCAACTTTACCCCGCAATGTGACGTGCGCGTGTAGCAGGGTCGTGAGGGTGTGATTCCCGGAATTGGGGTTAATCTTTTGACCTTACATTCGACGTATAATTTAGCATAATATAGGCGCTAGACTTGCTTATAAGGACCCACTTTTTTATGTTAGCTTATAGTATAAAATTCATACTATTTATCCGTAAAACTTATAATCTTATAAGTATTTTATTAGATTTAATATTATTTATTATATAAGAAACTACAAAAACTACAAAACTATAAAACTACACTACTTCTAATGCTCTGGATATAACACATAAATTTAAGTAAAATCTAATATTTTACATAAACCTTTATTTATCCCTGCTTAAGATATAATAAGCTAGTAGAGGTAGCTTTAATGCCTATAAAAGGCTTAATTATTAAGATTTACGTGAAATCTTTTAAAAATTCTTCGTTAAAAATATCGGTAATAGGTTAGTGGTTACTTCGAGCTAGTTTCTGCTAATTAAGGTAACCGACATTCTTCTTTGAATAAAATGAGCTTACTAACCAGCATAAATAACCTTCTAATATTAGCTTTTAATGATAACAGCGATAATAATCGCGATACGGCGATGATAATTTAAGGCTCGTAATGTGTATTATAGCGTTTTATAAGGTGTTTTTTACCCTAAGAAATCGTTGGTAATTAGAATAAAAGACGAAACACTAAATAACCTACCTTATAAGAAGAGTTAAGACACATAAGCCTAAAAAAACACTGTGAGACGGTATAAAGTAATATTCCCACTTTAAATTAGCGGAGCATGTACTAACCAGGGTCGAAAAGTTAACCTCAATTTTTTGACCCCAATTCCGGGAATCACGCCCTGATGGGACGAGATGGAGCTTGCGACGTTGGGACGACCCGAAACACGCAAAACGGCCGGCGCCGCATTTTCCGCTAATCGCGATGGCATCCACAAGAGCGGAGCCTCAACACCCCTGCAACTGTACATGTTTAGTATGTTGTCCATCGCGGGGGTTCTAGGGCGCCGTCTCTCTCGTTTGTCTTGATTCATAATTTAGCGCTGTAAGCAAGGATTCAAAACCGGATTTTACTCGTCAAACTGGCACATACGACCATAGCCGCTAGTTCAACTCACGAACCCGTCCGATCTCGTACGATAACCTAGCGAGCGCTAGATTAGTAGTTGGGTCGGTGACGACCAGCGAATACCTAGTGTTGTATGTCTTTTGTTTTTTGCTCATGCTGACAAGCATGTCAGCATATAAATAGGTTAAGCAGCGTATCCAGAACATACGACCACAGCCGCCAGCAAAGCTCAGGATCCCGTCCGATCTCCTATGAGAACCTGGTGAGCGCTAGATTAGTAGTTAGGTCGGTGACGACTAGCGAATACCTAGTGTTGTATGTAATGTTTTTTTTTTATGATTTCCGTCTTTATTTTTGGTCATCACCGAGTGAGGGAGATTCCCCCCTTTTATCTGCGATGAAATATGAGCCCAAGAACGTAGATCGCGTAACTTTTTTACTTACACCAAGTATTCGCTAGTAATGGACTACACAGGACCCAATAGTGACACAACGTGCGAGTTGCCACAGATGTCGGGCTGTGCAGGTGGAAGATGGTTGATAGTGTGACAGGGGCTTGTAAGGACACGATACAAGGCTTTGGCAAACAAAGGTTCAAATTCAGCTAATAACCCTCTTGGCTGTCAAAGGTTCTTAGTTTCATGCAAGGCCTTTGGGGCAAAGGTTCCTATTTAAACAAGGCGGCGGTGAGCCCCTGAGGTCTGGGGCCGCAGACGCCTGAGGATTCCAACTAGGTCTTGTGCAACTATCGTCAGGATCAAGGGCCGGTCCGTGCCGTGATGTTGTGATACCTCGGTGTGAAGTCCGTGTGACGGGTATATCGCCATTAACTGGCAGACAAGAATTGAAATTTGCCAACTATGCTATGCAGTACGCCAACCTTGGATGTCGAGACGGTGGCAGGGACATAGAGAGAGAGACAGGAGGGAGAGAGACAGAGAGCCAAGAGGGCACACTTATAAGCTCACTTTAACATCAGGGATCTTTGGCCAAGGGCAGATATTGCTGCTTCTTTTCGCTCCATTGCTCCACGGTCAAACCCAATAACCGTCGTGGCAGCCAACCTCGGGGGCGAGTCCTGGAATAGAGTCACCGTCACCCACCACAACACCCCAAACTCTTACCTTACAGGCTCAAAAAGTACTCGAGCAGCTGGGTGTACTTGGGCGTACCTAGACCCGTAACAGGGTCCCAGCCCGATGCTGCCGAGAATCCAGTGGTGC